CAAGCACATTGGGTGCTCGTGGAACTGCACAATGAGAGAGGCAGAAGAAACCCCGTCCCAAGTGCCCAAAGCCTGATACTAACTCTTCTCGAGGTCCAAGTTCTTGGCCAACAAACTGTGTGACCTCACATGGCAAATCCACAGGAGAAGTTGCTTTCCCAGACATAAACCCTTCCTCTCTTGGGCCAACGCCCTTCATTGGCTGGATGGTTTTTCTGCCTTGCATTTATATTGTCTCAATCATGTATGTTATTATTACATCTTATGCTCATTTTTATAATCCACTTCAAACTCTACATAGTTTGAGAACAAGCAGGAGAATGGATGATATTCAGAACCATTTCACATACACATACATGGAGCTCTAGAGTCGCAGAGGAACACTGGAAGACGCCTGCCTAGGGACAGTTAGTGTCAGTGAACACCTGTCTACCCGGGCAGCTGCCTGGGCCTCGGGAATGGGATTTCTTCCAACTCTCTCCTTATGTAGCCCTATGAGCACCCACCCTGTCGGGCAAGATGTCTGGCTTCTGACCTTAATTTATATTGAGCAAAATATCCAATTTATCAGATATGCTTTGCCCTGTTTTTTTCTTACCATCAATTCGGGATCCTAATGTGTTTTAAGAAGCCAGTGCTCATGACCTCAAATCACCAGCTCGACCTCCAACTGCTCCATAGGGGTGATTATTAGATTTGAGTCTCCACAGGCCAATTCCACCAGGCATAGATCTCCAGCCGTCAGTAGAAGGTCACCAGCACCCCCCCTTCTTCATTGCAAAGGTTTACTCATTTTTCTGCACTACTGTTTTCTTTTTACGGGGACCACAGTCAGGGCCAAATGCCATGGGAAAGAGTTAGATTGCTGCAGAAGCTAAATTCGTCAAGTCATGTGGTCATGAGCAGGTTGGGAGGGACTTGCGTAGAGAGGAAGCCATCTTTGCGGCGCCCTGGCCCTTGTCCATTCTGAAAAGTTTGTATTCTGAGCCAGCCTTCCCCACCCATTATGGAAATACCCCTGTTGTGAGAGAGGGGTGCTACCTCCCCAGCTGTGCCTCCGGCTGATGCCGTGTATTATCTGGGTTTGTCCACACTGCTGTTCAGTGGGTCAAAATAGAAAACCACCCGGAAATGTGGATTCGAGAAGGTGGTTAAGATAGAATGATTTCTGTGTATCTTTAAAGGAAAGTGTCTTTGAAAACGGTATCTTGAGCCATGCTTATCTGCAGTAGGGAAATGTATGTCCTGAATCTTAAGATAGGGGCCTTTCAGTCACCAGTGATTACCCTTTTGCCAAGCATGGAGTGAATGACCTCAGAGTCTCCGCAGGAACGGCTGTGTCACACACGCAGGTACTGAGAGCTCACCCTCTTTGCCTTATGGTGCTAAAAGCAATGCTTCGGATGCCCGCATCCTCATCCTGTTAGAATGGCCCACGTGTGAATGGCCCTGCATTGTCTGCGGTGCCCCGTGCGGGAGGAATCCAAGCTGTCCCGGGAAGCCCCTTCCCGGTGCTGTGTGTGCCTGGAATTCACGATGAAGGTAGCTGCAGGGCTGGAGGCAAGCGACAGATTCCTGCAGTGTAGCTCTTTTCTTGTCGCATCTGGGCAAAGAGCTGAGAATGTATTTACAGTGAGGCTTTTCAACCAATATTTCTCAATTCTATGGGCCATGATAGGATTTCTTTTTCTGAAATGAAGTGGTATGTAAACAATTGCCTTCCTTCTGCAGCAGCTGCCCCTTTTCTTATTTTCGTCTCAGTTCCTGTGCCCTCGGTTCCCACCTGAGGGGAGCGGAGACCCCGGCAGCCCTGTCACAGGGACCCTCATGAGGGCTGCTCACTGCCAGGCAGGGCTCCCAGTGTTTGTTATGCAGCTCCTTCCCTCAGGCGCTGACAAGGGGAAATGGAAATGAGAACAATCCAGGCTTATTTAGTCAATTTTTGTTGAATGCCAGTTTAGGGTCCAGTGTGTGGATGACCCTGGAGCGCGACCCTTTCTTCTTTGGAGTTAGTTTCCTTAAAGTCATTGAAAAACTCATTGGGAATGATCGGAACCATGGCTTCGTTCTGTCTTGTTCAAGTGCTAAAGCTAAACACAATGGGGAAAATGATGATATGTATGTTTTCATTGCCTTAAAAATACAAGTTTTGCAAATGGGGTTGCACAGTCTTGTTTTTGTGTTTCCTACCGTCAGTCTGGGATGGGAAAACTTAAAGAGATAGCTTGTGTTTGGTTGTGATGAAAGCCAAGTAAGTTTACTAAACATTGCCCCTATTTTAAATATTTACACATATCTTTGGAAAGCAATCTGGCATTATCCAGATTTGATAAAGGATCTGTTTTCCTGCCATTGAAAAACTCCTGTAATCCATACATAAAGTTCTCTGATATGGAAATTAAACTATGAAGAATTAAAAGAATATTAAAAAAAAGCCCATAACCCACAATGTCTTCCATTTTTATAATTCTGTGATGGTGCCTTGTTATAACAAGTACTCAATAAAAATCACGTAAATGAGCGAGTGCATGGGCACAAGCAGACCTTGGAGTTGTTACCACCAACCCTTGGCACTATCTACCATCTAAAATCATGTTCCTAAAGAATCAAATCCCTCTCGCTTCTCTGTCCTAGGAACTTCTCTCCTTGAAACAAATATATCAGAACTTACACACTTTGCTCAGCTCATGGAGTTTCCCAAGGGAATAGGGAACCAAGACTCAAGTGAAGATACTCTGTGTTTTGATATCAGGATGCGTCTTTTAGAGATTAATGTTTGAAGCCAATAAAGACAGCATAGGAGGAAATAATGCTGCTGTTGGCAGCATTGGGAATATTCGAGATCTACTCCATGGGAACTCACTCTGCTAGGGTCTGTAATTCTCCTTCGTATTAGCTCGGCTGTGGGGATGCTCTGAGTGACTGTGGAGTTGAACCCCCCGGGCTGGGCCTCAGTTCTGAGCAACCTCCAACCACAGCTGGATGCTGTCTTCTCCTGGATGTTACCTCTGAGATCTCTGCCCAGGCCCCAGGCACGTTTGCCAGTGAGCTCTGATCTCAGGGTTCCCAGACTGTGTCTGCCAGCTTTCCAACCCTTTGACAGAATACCTGAGAAATCAACTTAAAGGGGGAAGGGTTTCTTAGGGCCCAGAGGTTTCAATCCGTGGTCCCTTGGCTCTGTGGTTTCTAGACCCGTGGTGAGGCAACATCATGGCAGGGAGCCATGGCGGAGCCAGGAAGCAAAGAGAGGGCAAGAGGGAGGAAGAGCTAGTGACAAAATGTGACCCTCCAATGCATGTCCCCAAGGACCTCCTCCCTCCAACTAAGCCAATTCCTAACTTTCCACCACCTCTCAGTAGCCTGTGGGGCCATGAACCCCAGATGGATTCATCCATTGATAAGTCAGAGTCCTGGTGGCCCAGTCCTTTTCTTAAATCACCTTCTCTGCTCCCCTGGGCACCAAAACTTTGTGTGAGGTTTTTTGGATGCATTTCAGATCTAAACCACAGCGCAGAGGCTGAAAACCTCTTTCCAAAGGGACACTGAGAGCCCTGTCCGCTCCTCCTGTCCACACCCCTGCCATTGTCTTTTCTGCCCTGCTTCAGCCCTGTCTGCCCCTCCTCCAGGGAGGGCCCTCTTGCCTCTGATGCCTTTGACCTTCTCAGATTCCAAGGTCAAGTCCACACCATGCCTATGCCTCTACACTTCCACAGATTTGCTGCAGAGCTCCACCTGACGCAAACTCAGGACACAAACAAGGGTCCATTGGAGTCGAGCCCACAGCCTTAAACACTAGGATGGCAATCTGGAATCCAGAGGAAGTGATGATTCACAGGTCCCCAGGAAGGTGGAGAAAGTGTGTTGGAAAAGCTTGAGGGGGACTTCTGGAAGTAACGAGTATGAACACCCCTCTGGCATGATGGCCAGGGCTCCCGTCTGTGGGTTACCATTTAGCAGGACATCAATATATTTCTTTGTTTGGTGGTTAGGCTAGATTCCTTATTTCTCCATTAAATCTGATCCTATCATATCCTGGAGTTTCCAGACCTCGCCTATAAAAAAAGTCTTCCTTTCTTCCTTTTTCAGAAAGCCATGTCTGTCTTTATGTGAATGCCTTACTAAGTAAGGGTGTCCTGGGGTCTTCTTCCCTGAGGCCAGCAGCAGACTCCACTCAGCTACTTCCTCTTCCTTCCCCTTGTGGCCACCAGGGTCTTTTGCTGCCTCTCCTAGCTGTCCCCACCCCAGCTATCACTATGACTCTTCAAAGCTGCTGACCCTGAGGTTGCTGCAGGGGTGTGAAATCCAACACCAGGATTTCATCCTGAGGTCTCAAGGGTAAACCTTGTGGAGCTGTGAGTGTTCCTGGTGAGATGCCACCTCGAGGGTGGCGTCTGTTTCCTGTCACCCAGGGAGAGCACACGGCAGCTCAGTGTCCCCTGCAAGGGTCCCCAGGCAGCGGCCACAGAATTTCCCATGACAGCTTTAGAAAGAGCTGGCTCATGGCACAGAAGCCAGGCTGCAGCGCTGTGCCCTCTGTACTGCTTGGGAGCAGCCAGACGGCATAGATGGGGGCTGAAATGTGGAGAATTTATGCCTGAATCCAAGATCAAGGTGCCAGCAGGGTGGAGTCTGGCGAGGACTCTGTCCCGGGGCTGCAGAAGGCCAGGTTGTGTGGACAGACAGAGAGACCAGTGCTGCTCTCATCCTCTTCTTCTCAAGGTGCTAGTGCCATCCCAGGGCTCCACTTCACAACCTCATCCCCCCGTCACCCTCTGAAGCCCCTGCCTTCTAATGCTGTCACACTGGGGGCTCAGGCCTCCACCCGAGTTCTGGAGACACACAGAGAGCCAGACCGTGCAGGTGCTAGGCCTGCCTCCTCCCTGCCCCCGTCTGCCTGGCTCGACCCCCCTAGTGTCCCCCCAGACTCGAGGTATCACGAGACCCCGAGCCATGCTCCTTGGCCGCAGTGATAATGGAAGAATTTCCTTCTCTTCTGCCAGGAACTCCCCCGAGGACTGCGGCGTGACCAAAGTTGGGAAGATGGTGGGCAGCCCGGACACGGTGGGGATGAGCTACAGCAGCTACGTGGAGGAGAAGCACATGCCGCCCCCCAACATGACCACCAATGAGCGCAGGGTGATCGTGCCCGCAGGTCAGAGGGGCCCCATCCCCCTCGGTGGTGGGCTGGCTGGGCTGGCTGGGCTCCTCCCACGTGGCCTGGTTACACCTCAGGTGTCCCCACTGGTGCCTGTGAGCAGAAGCCAGCGGGAGTTTGTCCACATAGGGTGACACGGTCGTGTTTATTGGTTTTCCTGAAAACGAGACAAAAAGAACAAACACACACACACACACACACACACAGACACACACACACACATGTGTATTAGGTTCTTAGAACATATGCGAGAACAATGTGTGATTCCCAACCCTTTATTTGGACAGATGAGAACAAATACACATGGAGAGAGAGAGAATGTCCAGCAAACAGGTGTGTGCCTGCTTATCCATATGTGCACACACGTGTGTCTGCATGTAAGCATATGTCCATGAACCGTGAACTTTCCATGGAGGAATTGCTTTTGCTCTGAGACTATTGGGTGATAAATATCCTGGCTTTTGTAAAGTGCTAATTATAATAGATGGTGGCCTTATTTGTTCTTTACCTTTTCTGATCCAGCAAAATAAGAAGCTGGAAGCTATATATTCTTCCCTCACATTTTCGTAGAAACCAAGAATGCCAGTTATCGCTGGCCTGCAATGCAGATTATAATAATCAGGATAATTCTCTTTCCTGGAAGTTATTCAAATCCAACACAAGGGGATAGCTCTCTTGAGATTGAGGGTAATGCCCCGAACTTATTTATTTAGAGAAACTAAAGGTAATAGAAAGAATGGCTCGCAGTAAGATGTGTGCTGAGTAAAACTAAGCCTATAACACATTCAGCACTTTCACTGTGCCGGGCCATGTTAGGGCCTCATCTCAGGCCATCTTGGGAACCAGGTGCCCCGACCCCGTTGCCCCTCAGGGGAATGTGGCCCTCAGGGAAGCTGATTGGAGGCCAGGTTTGCACCCTCCCTCCCTCTGCCCGCCCCCGTGACTTGGCCTGTGATCAGCAAGCCCGGCTCCAGCTATCCCACGTCTCTGTCCTCACCAGCTCTCCACGCACATCACCTGGGGGCAAGGGTGCCGTCCCCACCATGCCTTCGGAAGTTGCTCCCCGCCCCTCTAGTGACATGCAGTCCCCACCTGGCTTAGGTTCCTGTATTGCATTCCTGCCCACCTGTCTGCCGCCACATGGTGAGGTAGAAGGTGTCCTTGCTCTTGTCCCTGCAAGGACATAAGCTCCCTGAGGCTCCACCTCCAGGGCCACTCAGTGAACCCTAATGGGGTGTTGGGTGCAGCCCCTGCACTAGGCACTCCCTGCTGTGAGAGGGCTAGGAGGTGTTGTGGGCGACACACGCAACTGTTTCCCCTCACTCAGGGTTCCCAAAGTCATCTCTGGGAAATGCAGATCCTCTCCTTCGTTAGCCCACAGAGATCACGTGCAGTGGGTCTGTCGCTTTCGGCGGGGCAGTTCAGGGTGCAGAGCACTGAGCAAAACATGAGACTTGGTTTCCCCTTGGGTTTGGTCCTGTGTGGCTCTCAGCTGACTGCCTGGAGCTGCTTAGATGCAGTTTGTGTGAGAGGAGTCATCCTGCTCATGCTCAGCCTGACTCTGAGGCATGTGCGAGGCTTTCATGGAAGACAGCTGTAATGAGGTCCCCTTTGTGACAAGGCAGGCGACAGAGGTCCACCATTTGGTTTGGTCACAGCCAGGGAGCACCAGAGCCAGATACCACCTCCGTTGTGCCTGGGCAGAAAGGATGGAAGCACAGTGAGCCAGGTCCCCAGTCCTGCTGAGTGGCTCCTAAACCCAAGCTCGAGAGCGCAGAGGAGAGGGTCAGGGTAAGAAGACTGATGTTCCAGAACTGGCTGGACATGAGGGAGGACTGAGATTCCCAAAAGGAGCCCCAGCCCAGGCCCGCTGTGCCTTCCACCGGATAAACATCCTGTCCTCCTCAAGGCAGCACAAGTTCGGTCATTTGCCATAGGAGGAGGGCTCCTCTTGCTCCTGGTAGATCACAGCGTAGGAGCTGATGCCCCGTGTGGAGTTTGTATTTCTACAATGTCATCCTCAGGCTTGGATGTCATCCACGTCGAGTTTTCAGTGGGGCCAGCTTGAGTCTTTCTACGTAAGTATTCAGAGAAGAGAGAGATTAAAGGGCCAATTTAGTCAAGTCGGAGTGTGAGCATTTCTTGTCCATAGTAGGTGCTCAGTAAATGCTGGTTGGCCATGTGGACCAGTGCTGACTGGCTCCTGTTGGGTTTGGTGTGAGGCTGCTTCTGCCTCCGCCACTGGAGCCAAGTCCTCTGTCTGCTCTTCCCACCTCTGGTTGCTTCATGCCAAGGCGGGCAGTTATTCAGTTAACTGGCTGATTTTGCAAGTTGTGAGTCTTGCAGTTATTGGTCAAGCTTTGGGTCTGTGTGTTCACACACACATACACACACAGATGGGCACACACGTGTGGGGTTCCATTGCACAACATGGAAAATCTCCAACATCACACAGTGGCCGGACCCCAGGCGGTGCTATCGGCTGCCACACCTGTCCCTTCAGTTCTGACACTAGCAGTATTTGGGTGTGCAGTGCTCTTTGTCCACACAGTTCTCCAGACCTGGTTCTGACCCAGTTTGCCGAGTCCCTACTCCTTAGACACATTGCTTGGCACCCAGAATGGAAATTGTAGGGACAGCCAATGAAAACCCCGTTAAGCCACTAATTGCTGCCAGGCACTGACACCAATCCATGGACTCCACACTGACATTCTTGTCCTAGACGTCAAAACGGCCAAGACACAGTCGGAAATTGGTTTGTGAACAGAGTGATGACGAAAGGTCTTGGGTGTGTCGTCTGGGTTTTCGTGGGGGTCCAGACTTGGAACTCGGTTCTGAGAAGCGATTCTCTTTGGTGTTGAGACTCACTCTTCAGTTAACTCAAGAGCCATGAAGAAACCAACAAACTTTCCCTCATGATTCAACCTATATAGTCATCTGAAATATTTATATGCCTCCTGGTGCAGAATGAATTTAAGAAAGTCACATAAATATTATGCAAAGGCCCAAGGTAGAAACAAGTTTAAAACAAATTAGTAAAAAGATAGACTAAAAGGTCCAGGGATTTAGCTCAGTGGTTCCAGCGCCTGCCTCGAAAGGGCAAGGTCCCGAGTTTGATCCCGGGTACCAAAGGGGAAAAAAAAAAGATGGACTAAAGTAGGAATGTAACAGAGAATGAAAGCAGGAGTGAGGTGTACGTCACGTGCATCTTCCAACTTGCAGAGGGCTGACCCAATGCAGCAGGACTTTGATTTGCTCTGGATTTTGTCCCAGGAAGCCCATTTAGAGGTGAAGCTATCGTAAGTGGGAAATGTACTTAACACACCTCACCTACTGACCGTGCCGGAGAAGTGCAGCCTGTGTAGTTGAACGTGCCCAGAGCACTGGTCTTAGCCACAGTTGGGCAAAATCATCTCACCCCAAGCCTGCTTTATGCCACAGCATAGCCAGCTCATGTGATTTAATAAACAATGCACTGAAAATGAAAAGCAGGGTGATTGTTCGGGTCCCCAGCCTGTGCCGAGCATAATCCCTCTGTTCCACATTGGCACCAGCCCATAGCTCCATGGTGACAAATGGCATCGTGCCCAGCACCAGGTCACTGTCTGCTTTTCTGTGCCCCTCCCAATAGCTGAAGACCCCTTGCTGTAACTAAGTAGCCCCATTTCCAGGTGTTTCCAGCTCAGCCTTCCCAGGGTGTGGACTCGGCTCAGTGTCTGGGGAGAGTGGACCGGTGTGTCCCGAACACCACATGTGTCGTGATGCCTCGTGCTTGTCTGCCATCAAGCACGGTGTCGTCTGGGTGCCAAGTGAGCCTCTGTGCCTGCCGGGCACTCATGGGGCAGCTGAGGCCTTTGAGATCTTGGCAGTGGCCACGGGCTGTGCTATCCGGGAGGGTTAGCAAAGGGGAAGACACAGTCTCCATCCACTTCTCTTAAAAGTTGCAAAATGCTCACCAGTTGCAATAGGACCTGGGGTTTTAGCTGCTTACAGCATTTTGAAAGATTTTTTTCTATTTCTGTGTTTTATCCCCTAAAATAGGTGCTGGTTTTCAAACATCCTTTTTTTTGGTGCCAGGGATCAAACTCGGGTCCTTGCACTTGCACAGCAGGCGGCAAAAGCACTGAGCTAAAACCCTGGCCCAAACATCCTTTTTTTAGCCTTTGCACTTTTATTTGTAAAACAACCCACTTTGAGCACAAGCGGTTGTAAGACTCAGCAGTCTCAAAGCAGCGTAGCCAAGTTTATCCTATCCTTCGTTCCTTCCGTGATTCGAAGAGCACTTGCTAGGCTCCAGAGCCACAAATCCTCTCCCATGTGAGATGCACAGTCCCTTGTCCTGACCTCCAAAACTCTCAGGATGGAGACCTCTCTGATTGTGTCTCACTCTGCCCCTCCCAGCTTGGCCACTTCTCCTCCATCCACGCGTCCACCCGCTCCCATAGCTCTTAGGATAGCCACTGAGGCAGCGGCCAAAGCCAGGCGGGTGGGACCAGACCCACCCACGTGACAGACAGGAGAGCGTGCAGAAAGCTCAGTGAGCAACTCAGACAAATGTCTGGACGCCAGGGCACAGAGATCAGCACACATGAGATGGTCCAGGACAGCTTTGTTGGTGCCCAGCATGGGCTGCTCGCTAAGAGCCTCTGGAGCGGCTGCCCCATTTTTCTGCCACGTGCTGCCTCTGGGCACAGCGCCCTGTGCTGCTCCCGATGCCGCCGTGCCCTTCTCCCTTCCTCTGTTTACAAAGTCTGCTCCATCTTCAAAGCATCGCTGAAAGCCACCCTGTTCACCAAGCCATGCTTGATCCCCTGACAAACGAATTTATGGCATCTTTCCTCATTACCACGCTCCATTTTGATTCACAGTATATTCTCTAACACAGCTCTACCTCCTTAAAAATCGACACACTGTCTCACTCACATAGGATGTGAGAGCCCTTGTGAACTAAACTCCTGGTACACATGGGAATTCGGAATCAGTGTTAAAGCAGTTAA